TTCTCTTCTTCTCTTTTCCTCCATCTTTTCACAGCCATACTTCTTGGTTAGAATGTTCCATACTTTTCTGTTTCCTTTTACAACTCTAGTACAGATCTTGGCACCATTCCATTTCTCTTGATAAGGTCAACCAGAAGCTCCAGATTGCTAAATCCAGTGATGTATTTTCTATACTCATAGTGCTTCTGAGTTCTTAAGTGTGCTCTATGAGGTCACCAGAGAAAAGGAAAAGTAAATTTAAATAACCTATAATCCTTCTCCATACTGCCAATCTTTTTTTACAGTATAATAAAGTACAGAGGAGTGATAGCTTTATACTTTACCACTAGATGGCTGAACTACATTGTTTTTGGAAAAGAAGTAAAATCTTAATCACTTGAGGTTGGCTAATGTATAACATTTAATAAAATCCCTGATATATGAATATAAAAATATATACACAAAAATATATGTGTGTGTATATATATGTGTATATATATATATACATACAAATTCACACATGCTACAAATATACAACGTAATTTTTGAGTAAGTTTAATAAGAATTAAGAGTTTTTAAAAATCATAAAACTTATAACCTTGTCCGATTTTAGCTTTGTTTATATGTTATATAAGACACGTAAAAGATCAGAACATTTTCACGTTGTGTTCTTACACAGACTCTCCATAAACATCAGCTCTAAAAGTTTCACAGACATCTTGAGGGCAAATTTAGCTCTGTTTTAGATCTAATATCTGTTGTCAGATGATACATTCATTTATCTTTAAGCATAGTGTTTTATAGAGTATTCCATTAGAGTTCAAAATAATAGAAGATAATATGCCATTTATTCATTTAAATTTTTAGTTGTGAACATTTTATTCTAATTTAAGTCTCCTTTAGTCAAGGTCATAAGTACCTGTATTAGGTACTTTATTAGGCTTCAGGAATATAGTTACCTCTATTAGGTTCTTAGTTAGGCTTCAGGAATATAAAAGTTACATATGAAATTGCTATTGGTGTCAAAAACAGTCAAATGTTGGTATTTTCATATGGTTCAGCCTAATAACTTTCTTATGGGTTTAGTCATATTCATTTTTATGTTTTATGCAATGACATGAATAGTCCTGTGGGGCTAAGTTTTGGTAAACTAAAGTTTTGACCTTGAAGTATTGATTCTTACTTTCTCTGTAGATTTTGTTGAAGATACATGTACAGAAATGCAATTTGGCAAAATAAGCATTAAGGGGAAGAATAAGTCTTACTAGATGCCAAAAGATTTTTCAAGTACCATTGCCATGTAAAGCTATATGTGTTGCATTTGGAAAATGCATGGTTTATCTTTGAAAATAGAATGTACAATACATGCCTAAGGGGAGTATTTCTAGACTTATTTTGGTGATGGGCTAATTGAAGTGATTGACCAAGAGACGTTAAAACACGATTCTCAAATCAACGTTGATTTGTAGTGTGCTTTTGCCCCCTCAGAATAGCAATGAGTCTATTGATTTTACTTTTAGTTATTTATAGTGTTAACACTTAATTAAAATGTGTGAAATTTTAAAATAGTTATATTTTGTCTAGATTAAAAGATGCTGTCACTGAGGCCTGGATTTCTTTCTGTTCCTATATCCTAGCACTGTCCATTGTCATCCAGTTTCCCCTCAGAAGGAGACATGGTTATGACTTGTTTTCTTACCTGGCCTCAGACAACAGATTCACCCAAACACATTATATTTCTTGCTACAGGTGGTTATGTTCCTGCTCTAGAATTTTTATGTGACCCTTATTTTAAGTCTTCCAACAAATGCTGATGAAAAAAATAAATAAATAAAACATTGTATTTGGTTTTTTTAAAAATGCTAGAACAGTGAGGTGGTGTTTAAAACAGTTTGAAAGTATACTGTTCATGGTGTTCACGGTGTTTATTTGGTAGACTTACAGGTTAATTTAATTATGAAAGGAAGAGGTTCTCCCTGGGAAATATTTGGATGGTTTTGATAATGGAATTAAATAATTTCTCATTCGCCCTATGTTATTTTGCTCATCAAACTAAAAGCAAAACACTGTGTGACTTGTTTATGCCTCAGGATTAATAATTAGGAGATACTTCTCTTAGCAGAGGCATCTCATTACATTCTTTGACTTGCCTGTGATGCCTTGTAGATGAGTGAAAATAATAAATTGTTTTAATAAGATATCATTTTTCTTCATAAGATAAAAATTAAAAAACGTCATTTAGAATTTAAAAAAAAAACCCAAAACCATAAATAACCCTATACAAACACATTGTTCTTTCTGTTTTGCTTTTACTTCCTGTGCTTATTTGAAATGAGGCTGATAGAATAGAACTTTGGTTTGACCGGGAGTATACAGACTTTATATTAGGATGGTACAAAAGTAATTACAGTTTTTACCATTACTTTCAATGGCAAAATATGTGGCTGAGTATGATAATGGCATTGAAATATTTCTACATTTTGATTACTTAAGGGTATAAATAGTTAGCATGGCTTTAGAGCTTTTAAGTATTGTTAGACAACTAACATGATGGTTATAGGTTATATAGTTTCCTAATGTCTCCAGACTGCTCCAGATATCTGGGATAATCTGAGAATAATAATAATCTTTCTTATTATGAACGACCAGTTCATTTACCACTTTATAGTAGTGATTTTCATTTTTTAGTTTTTGTCACTCGCCAGCACAATTACCTCTTTTGGAATTCAGTGGCTACTTTCTGGTTCCCCTGGAGGACCATGAATTAATATGGCCTAAAATCACATTTTAAGAATATCACGTAATACATAGTAAATCCAGTTTAAGAAGTTTCACTAAAGCAAACAATCTAAACAATTTAAAATGACTTTGAGTCTATCCCAAATCACATGTGTATTTACCTATCAATATTCTGCACGTCAGTGAAAAAGGAATGTGTCTTAAAGAAGACATCAGCAAAGTAAAGGAAAAGGAGACTGATTCCATGTGCTAATTGCAGATGTATGAAAAAAGGCATAAGGAAGTCTTCATGGAGACAATGGTAATTTGGAGTTGCCTAGAAAGATCACTATGGTCATGTAGAGATAGGGGAGGGAAGTCAGATGGAATGACAATGCAGATATTCTTACTGTACTTTCATAATATTTGCTTTTAAATTTCAGCATATTTTGAATAAGTATACTTAATAGTAATATCCAAGGCATCTATGAAGAAAGTAGAGATCAGAGAACAATAACTTTGTGCTTCACTTCCTCTAACCAGGCCATCTCACCGCCCCATTACATCACAACTCTTGCCACAATCCCTTTTGTTCTCCTTGGGAACACCAGTTTGTGTAACTAGCCCCTTGTGCATTGACCAGCCACTCACTCCCTGGCAAGAAGGCCTGCTGCATTTTCCTCATCATAGCTTGTTTATTTGGATTTTTTTTTCCTCTTTGCCTAAGTGTGTTCACTTCATAGCACAGCCTCCCTTCCACCAAATAGACACGAAGGGAAGACCAGGTCTTGGGTGCAATTACAGGGATTTTTTGGGTATGAGAATATGCTAAACAAAACAAAACTAACCTTTGGGAATACGTATATCCCAGACATTTGCCCCTTTTCCCTCTACTCATGTTTTCGTTATTATTTGGTTTAAAAATGAGGATTCCCCCATATCTCTTGAGTTAATTACAATGCTCTGGGTTTCTGTAAAAATGTCAGATTGTGTGGGACCAGTCAGTTATCAGCATAACTTGGGTAGTGGAACGCTAGACAAGTAACTGTATGGATTTCCACCTCATTATGGCCACTGCTGTCTTTGAAAGCTCAGGCACTGGGAAAAGAGCTGTGGGGACAGGTTCAAAGAGTTGAAACTATGTTGAAAAAGCTGCCTGCCAAAAACCAATGAAGTCTTAAAACGAAATAGTTTTTTAAATTCAAAAAATATTAACATGAATTGTTGAAGAGATTTGAGTCCAGTGGGGGATCAAGTGTATGTGAAATTGCATTTTTTAAAGTTATTCTTTTCCAGTAGACCATAACAAAAAATTACATGAAACCACAAGAGAGGGTGTCTCCCTGCCTTCCTCAAATTTGGGCTCGTTTTTTAACAAAACAGAATAAAAAGAGTTGAACTAAATTAGAATGCCGAAATGGTGAGAGTGGGTGGAAAGATGAAAGGCACTTTAGTTCAAACAGACTCTAATGGAGAAATCAAAAACTGATCATAAGACCACCCAGCTGACCTGACTCACCTACTCAGGATCTTTCTGAAAGCCTCTCAGTTCTGTGTTGTACATCTTTTAGACTAGTAATAATATCATTAAAGTACACAAACAAAATGTCTTACACATGTTACAGGAACATCCAGAGAAATGAACAGCATATTTTCCAATTAAATCTTTTAGTACTTCTCTTTCCAATTTTTTCTTCTAATCATTTGACATTTCCCCTTTTTAAAAAGAAAAAGCATCAACATATTGACAGCTTGAGCTCTCAAAAACTCAATTTCTCTGATTTTGTAAGAACTTTCTAGTTTCAATAGCTATTAATATAATGAGTTCGAATTACTACAGTTTTTAATTACAAATAAATCTGCAGTTGACAATACTGCTTATCTCTCATTGTTGGGAGACATTTAGTATTGTGAGTACAGATCTGGGAGTAGTTTAGCGTGCTACCTCAGTGAAGATATATGGCATTTCAAACAATAGCTTTTTTTTTAGTCCTGTGCATCTACATGGATGCTTTCCTCCCCTGTTTAAATCGCCTACTCAAGCTTCTCTTCAAATCCAGGGGGAAAAAGTATTGAGTTTATAGATGATTTGCTTTTTACTGAACCTTTGCTTAGTGAAGACAAGAAGATAAAAGCATAGCAATCTTATGAGACACAGAAGACAGTATCATATTTTCTTTAAATAAATTTTATCTCTTCAGAGAAATTATTTAAATAGTCACAGCCAATGTTTATGCCTGTTTTTCATCTAATAACATTATTGGTTACAAAAACCTATTGTCACACGTTTGAATTTCTCCTACCTGTATTTGTTGAAAGATTCCCTATGTGCTTGTTGTTGGCTGCTCTTTAAAAGACACTACTTTGTCATCCTGGCGTGTTCTTCTGTCAGAACTTCATGGGTGCTGTCAGTGGTGATTCCAGGAGGGATAAAAACAATCCACTACTTCCCGAGCTTTTTTGGGGTTGTTTTTGAACTTTATACTTTTATACAAAGCTCTGCTGAATCATATGCTGGCTACTGAATCATGGTCTGCCTTCTGATTCATTTCCAGCAGAGAATATCTGTTGTTTTCCAGCAGTCAGTGACTTTTTGAGACGCAGATGGGAATTGAGGAATTTCATTTATTTGATCCCATGTGTAAATGCAAGAATGGAATGACACCTTGGCATAAACGTTTGCATTAGAATAGCTCAAATACAAGTTCTTCAGTAGTTTTAATTAATAAATCTAAATGATATGTACATTTTAGAAGGGAAAATTACTTCCTATCTACCTACTAGCTAGCTATGTTAAAGAATTCCACAGAAGGATGGCTTCTTATGCCATTGCTCTGGGATCAGCATTTTTTTGTTGTTGTTGTTGTTTTTGCTTGTTTGTTGTTTTTTGTTTGTTTTTGTTTTTTAGTATACAATTATGTGACTTTTTTGTAGTTCTATGGATTTTCATTCTGAATTATTCCTTTTAAAAATTGACTTCACTGTATGTTTATTCTTATCAAAAACCAGAGAAGCATAACTTTCTTTTTCCATAAAGAGAAAAAAGACACTTTGAAATCATTAATTCTGTTTTTTAATTCATATGCTTTATCCTAATTATTTGACAGTTTACACATGTATGATCATTCATTTTTCTTCTTGTTCCTTTGTTCTTCATTGCCCCCAACTTAAAATGTACCATCCATTCATTATAGAATGTCTTAAATGTTGCAGACTTTTTTCACCATTGTAGCTATCTGTCAGATATTCTGATATCATGTGAATAATTTGCCAACTTATTGACTCTATATGATGTAGCTATAGCCTGTAATTTTCTTTATGCTCACTGGAGCACACACAACACTGATGTCATCTTTTTCCCCTTTTCTGTTAGATTCAAAAGGTATATGTGCAGGTTTGTTAACATGGGTATAATGCATAATTGTGACTTTGGGGCTTTTAATGAACTTATCACCCAAATAGTGAACATTATACCAAGTAGGTAATTTTTCAACATGTGCTTCTCCCCAGCCCCCACCTTTTGGAGTCCAGTATCTATTATTTCCATCTTTATGTCCATGTGTACTTCACTTATAAGTGAGAACATGTGACATTTGGCTTTATATCACTTAGGATAATGGCTTCTAGCTCCATCCATGTTGTTGCAAAGGACACAATTTAATTACTTTTTATGGCCATGTAGTATTCCACAGTGTAAATATACCACATTTTTTTTTCAATCAACTTTTGATGGACACTTAGGTCAATTCCATGACTTTGCTATGGTGAGTAATGCTCAGTAAACATAGTACAGGTATCTTTTTCATAAAATGATTTCTTTTCCTTTATGTATGTACATAGTGGTGGGATTGCAAAGAGTAGTTCTAATTTTAGTTATTTGAGAAATGCTCATTAACTAATTTATACTTCCACCAACAGTGTATATGCATTTCCTTTTCTCCACATCCTCTCTAACATCTATTATCTGTTGGCTTTTTCATAATAGCTATTCTGATTGGTATGAGATGGCATCTCACTGTGGTTTTAATTTGCATTTCTCTAATGACTAGTGATGTTGACCATTTTCCAAATGTTTGTTGGTCACTTGTATGTCTTATTTTGAGAAGTGTCTGTTCATATCCCTTTGCCTTCCTTTTAGTGAAATTATTTGTTTTTTTTCTTGTTGATTTGTTTAACTTCTTTACAGATTCTAGATATTAGTCCTTTGTCAGATATATAGTTTGCAAATATTTTCTCCCATTCTATAGATTGTCTGTTTGCTTGTTAATTATTTCTTTTCCTGTGCAGAAACTCTTTAGTTTAATTAAGTCCCGTTTGTCAACTTTTAGTTTTGTTGCATTTGTTGTGGTGGTCTTAGTCATAAATTCTTTGCCTAGGCCAATGTCCAGAAGAGTTTTCCCTAGATTTTCTTCTAGTATAATATTTATAGTTTGAGGTCCTATAGTTAAGCTTTTAATCTATCTTCAGTTAATTTTCATATATGGTAAGAAGTAGGGGTCCAGCTTTATTCTTCTGTATGTGGATAGCCAGCTTTCCCAACACTGTTTGTTGATTAGGGTATCCTTTCCCCATTGCTTATTTTTGTTGACTTTGTTGAAAATCAGTTGTTTGTAGGTGTGTGGCTTGGTTTCTGAGTTCTCTATTCTGCTCCATTGAGAGTAGAATAGAGTAGAATATGGTACTGCTCCAAACCAGTACCATACTGTTTTGGTTACATTAGATGTCTAGTATAGTTTGAAGTCAGGTTATGTAATGCTTGCAGCTTTGTTCTTTTTGCTTAGGATTGCTTTAGCTATTTAGGCTCTTTATGGCTCCATATGAATTTTATAATTGTTTTTTTCTAAATCTGTGAAATATGACATTGGTCATTTGATCAGAATTGCATTTACTTTCTAGATTGTTTTGAGCAGTATAGTCATTTTAGTGACATCGATTATTCCTGTCCATGAGCATGGTACGTTTTTTCATTTGTTTGTGTCATCTACAGTTTCAGTGTTTTATAATTCTCCTTTGTAAAGGTCTTTCACCTTCTTAAATGTATTGCCAGGTAGTTTGTGTTTTTGTGTGGCTATTGTAAATGGGATTGAGTTTTTTATTTGGTTTTCTGCTTGACCATTGTTGGTGTATAGAAATGCAACTGATTGCGGTGTGTTAATTTTGTGTCCTGAAACTTTAACAAAGTTGTTAATCAGGTCCAGGAGTCTTTTGGAGGAATTAGGGTTTTCTAAGAATAAGATATGTCCTCAGTGAAAAGAGATAATTTGACTTCCACTTTTGCAATTTGTATGCCTTTTATTTTTTTCTTCTGCCTGATTGCTCTGGCTAGAACTTCCATTACTATATTGAATAGGAATGGTAAAAGTGGGCATACCTGTCTTGTTCCAGGTCTTAGAGGAAATTCTTTCAACTTTTGCCTGTTAAGTATGATGTTGACTGTGGTTCTTAGTATTTTGAGGTATGTTCCTTTAATGCATAGTTTATTTAGAATTTTTATGATGAAGAGATGTGGGATTTTATTCAATGTTTTTTCTGCATATTGAGATGATCACATGATTTTTGTTTTTAATTTTGTTTATGTGCTGAATCACATTTATTGCTTTGCTTATGTTGAACCATCTTTGTGTTCCTAGAAGAAAACTTACTTAATTGTGATGAATTATCTTTTCGATGTGCTGTTGGATTCAGTTTGCTGGTATTTTGTTGATGACTTTTGCATCTACGTTCATCAGGGATATTGGCCCGTAGTTTTCTTCTTTGTTTGTTATCCTTGCCAGAACTTGTTATCAGGGTGATACTAGTTTCATAGAATGAGTTTGGGAGGAATTCCTCCTCCTCAATTTAAAAACTATATATTTTTGTTAATAAGATTGATACCAGCTCTTTGTACATATAGTAGAATTCAGCTGTGATTTCCTCTGATCCTGGGTTTGTTGTTGTTGTTTGTTTGTTTTGGTTGATAGATCTCAGGATTTTAATTTTCTCTTGGTTTGGTCTGGGAATTTGTGTGTTTCTGGAAATTTATTTGTTTTCTCTAAGTTCTCTAGTTTGTGTGCATAGAGATGTTTATAGTAGTTTCTGATGATCTTTTCTATTTCTGAGGTATCAATTTTAATGTTACCTTTATCATTTCTGATTGTGTTTATTTAAATCCTCTTTTTTTCTTGCTTAATTTAGTTAGTAGTCTATCAATTTTGTTTATCTTCCTAAAGAACCACCGTTTTTTGTTGTTGATCCCTGTGATATTTTAGTCTCAATTGCATTTAGTTCTGCTCTGATCTTTATTTCTTTTCTTCTGCTAGCTTTGAGTTTGGTTTGTTCTTGTTTTTATAGTTTGTTAGATACATCGTTAGGTTGTTAATCTGATGTCTTTTTATCTTTTTTATTTATGAATTTAGTGCTGTGAACTTTCCTCTTAACACTACTTTTGCTATATCCTAGAAGTTTTGATATGTTGTTTCTCTATATACATTTGTTTGCCTTTTTTTTTTCTTTCAAATTTCTGCCTTAATTTTGTTAAAGTCATTCAAGAGGAAGTTGTTTAGTTTCCATGTACCTATGTGGTTTTGAGAGTTTCTTTTGATATTCATTTCTGATTTTATTCTGCTGTAGCCTGAGAAGATACTTGATATAATGTTGATTTTTAAAAATCTATTAAAATGTGCTTTGTGGCCAGCATATTGTCAATTTTAGAGAAAGTTCCATGCACAGATAAGAAAAATATATATTCTTTGGTTGTTGGGTGGAATGTTCTATAGATGTCTATTAGATCCATTTGGCAGAGTCTAATGGATCAAGTTTCTTTATTAAGTCAAATTTCTTTGTTAGTTTTCTCCCTCGGTGATCTGCCTGGTGTTTTCTATGGGATGTTGAAGTCTCTCACTATTACTGTATGGCTTTTTCTTTTCTTTTCTTTTCTTAGATGTAATAGTACTTCTTTTATAAATCTGGGTGCTCTGATGTTGGGCATGTGTATATTTTGGGTAGTTAAATCTTCTTGTTGCATTGAAGTCTTTATCATTATATAATACCCTTCTTTGTCTTTTTTTACTCTTGTTGGTTTAAAGTCTATTTTATCTGACATAAGAATCGCAACTCCTAGTCTTTTTTGTTCCCCATTTGCATGATACATCTTTCTCCACCACTTTACTTTGAGCCTGTGTATGTCTTTATACATTATGTGGGTCTCTTTTAGGCAGCAGATGGTTGAATCTTGTTTTCTTACCCAATTTGCTAATCTATATCTTTTAAAGATTTATGTTCAAGGTTAATATGCATATGTGAGGTTTTGTTCCTGTCCTAGCATTGTTAGCTAGTTGCGTTATAGTTTCAATTATGTAATTGTTTTGTAGGATGTGTGAACTTTGTACTTACGTGTGCTTTTGTGGTAGCAAGTATTATCCTTTTGTTTCCCTTTAGCAGTTTTGGTGTACTGGTCTAGGGGTGACAGAGTTCCTTCGCATTTCTTTGTTTGGGAAGGACTTTATTTCTGCTTCATTTATGAAGCTTAGTTTAACAAGAAAAGTTTCTTGGCTGGCATTA